GCCATGTTTGTAATGACTTATCATGAGAACAAACGTATTCACGCGTGACTTTAACAGCATTTCTTACTTAATGGAAACACTGCAGTTGTGAAACTGTGTTTTTTCGACATTAACAGAATATCAACAAAGTTTTGCGMACGTTTGCAATGGAAACGCAGCTAGTAACTCCATCAAATGAATAAATTTCATCATATTAAGTGTAGTTTTAGGGACAAACAGTGATAATTATTCATCTCACACAAGATTCCTTTTCTTTCTTATAAACATAATTAAGAGTAAATGTAGAGAAAATGTCTTTAATAATTATTTTCTGTACAAATATGTTAAAATACTTAGAGGTTTATGTTGAAGTTTATTTGAGAGTATTCAGAATGTTAGGAGATTCTAATTTAACTGATTGTTAGATGAACCCGCAGCAGGATAAATAACGCTCCTTTTTGTTTTGTTTTTTTACTCTGACTTCCTGTTAAAGTTCATCCACCCCACCCCCTCTGGTTCTGCTCCCTCAGCCTGGCAAACGGGCAGCCGACCCGCTGACAGTGCGGCCCGGCGGGCAGGCAGGAAGCATCAGGTGGCGTCTGCAGCCAGAGAGGACAGCTGGGTGTTAAACTGTCACAGCAGCTCCAGGGTCGACACGGATCAGAACCGGTCAGAGTCTCCGTCCTGGTTYCACAGCGTAGAATCAGCCAGGTTGATAGTTTTTTAGACTTTTCTCTTTCTGAATATATGATCAGTTGTTTTACTGCAGCAAAAATCATCGACAAGAAAACTGTTTGAAAACCGTAGATTTGCCCTCTGGTGTCGTAATATGGAGGACAGACATTTACATCATTAGACGTAAAGCAAAATGGATCAATAAATAAACAAATAAATACACTTAAAATGCATCAATGAAAATTAAAAAGGACAACCTTACCTCATGTTTCATAATTTAACTGACCTTCATATTTATTTTTACAGCTTAGTTCCAATAAATTTTATATTTTAGCACATAATTTACATTTTACTGTTTAAAATATATTTTTGTATTTGTTCATCTTTGCAAATCCTRTCCTTTCCTTAAWGTTTAAAGTTTAKTTTAAAACAAAGGCAAGGAGGGAAACTCTTACCTGTGTCTTTATTTGAATTTAAACTTAAAGTTAAACTGAGGCAGCAGCACAGTAGATCTGCACATGGATCCTGCTCCTTCCTGTCTGTTGACCAATAGGAGAGGAGCTGACCCAAGAAGCTCCACCCACATTATTTCCATAACGAAGCAGAAATGCACAAGGTAAAGTAAAAACAGGAGACAGAGAAATGTAAAAGCAACACATGGAAATATAAAGACTTGAAAAAAAATATAAAAACTAAATATAAACATTTAAGAGACACAGATGCGTGTATAAGTAAAAGGAAATGTTTATTTTTAAAACAGGAAAATGTAAATTATGTTCTAAAATATATCATTTGAAATATACAGTATAAACATAAGGTAATATTCTCAAGGTTTTAAATGTATTTATTTTTTTATTCGTTCATTTATGTATTTCTGCTTTTATTTCTAATTAGGTCAGTTTCAGTCCTCCATGGTC